TACACTATGGAGGAATAGTTCAAAGCACTATGTCCACTAAGCCGCCAGTACATCCGATGATGTTTACTAAGAAAGGTTCAAAGCCACAAGCTACCTTTTCTGATGCAATAGGGTCTTGTGAGGATTGAGCACAAGAGTCTGCATACATGCATACATTTGATTTCCACTCATGTGGGGGATTGTTGAAAAATCAGTAATATAAAATTGGGTATGACCTGATTTTGACTGATTTGTTGATGGCTAAATATTTAATTCGGACTGAATTAAATTGTGTAGAATAAATTCTACGTTCCGAGTAGAAACTCTTAGTATATTTGATTTCTCAATACTTATTTTCAGTGAGTGAGAAATAAATGTTAGCCTTAAATGGGCACGCAGAACGTTGGTTGTGGGATTCGAATGGTTAAAAGTCTTATCCCACAGAGAACTCTTGAATGAGATTAACTCTCTTTATTATGATAAAGAGAGTTGGAGAGGTCACAACAATAATAAAGTTATCTACCATATGTTGGTATATAAACCGAGTTGGTTTTGGACATGGGTTTCGACACAACCCGTGTGACATCGTTCCAGGTACATTGAACCTGGACGTGTGACCTTTCAACCACATAACAGTTTCAAGAGTTATGAGGTGAATTAATGTGAGTTAAACCTGAAACGTTTTGCAATTAAAACCAAGTCATGAACGGATGTTAATGGCTTGGTGGTTACAATCCATGAATGGTTGTTAATGGAGCCATAAATGGTTGTTAATAGCTTGGTGGTTACAAGTTTTGAATAGTCATCAAAACTAGCCATGAATGGCCTTTAATGGCTTAGTGGTTACAAAATGAAGAGCCATCCCCCACCTAGGTGGAAGTCCTATAAATAGGACAGTGTAGAGACTGAATGAGACACGAAAATTCTCATCTGCATTCTTAACTCTCTCATCTCTCATAGCCTAACGCATACATAGTGCTCAGTTCTCGTCTTCGAATCCGTTCGCTGGAACTCTGAAGTCTGGTGTGCTACAGCTTTCGAGTGTATTGCCGTTGTATCTTTGGGGACATTACGCACAGACCCGTCAGCACTATACGGGGCGTATTTGTCTTGCGGAAAGATTTCAATCGCCTCGGCTTTCAATCTGTCCGCATTTGAGTTGTAATTTTTTATTTTGTTTTAGTTTATCTTGTACGAACTGAACACTTCAGTCAGTTCATAGGTTCCCGTTGTAATTCAAAACACACTTTGTGTAACATTTTATTTTTACAAAATATTATTTGATTATGCATGATAATATTGCAAACATAATTACATAATAAAAATTACAAATCAATTATGAAAATATTATTATGATATTTATCACAATGTTACAATTAAATCTTTTTTTGTCAACATTAACAGCAAACCACGATGATTTCTTATTCATTTGATAACTAAACATATGCCAAAGTACTTTATCGTATCTTCAAAAATTATTTGATTGAGAAGATAAGTTTAGAATCCTTTGATTTATCAATAACTCAATCGTTCCAGTCTTGCAAAAATTATAACCTAATTTTTCAAAATATCAAAAGAAATTAATTTAACCATTTATCTTTAATAACAAACCAATCTTAATCCTTAATAACAAATCATATGTTCTCTTGTTTTAATTGGTATCCAGCCATATGAAAATCGAAATATGCGTGAGAACATTGCAAAATATAAGTACAAAACAAATTTAGAAATCAACTGCAAATATCATATTTATATAACTACTACAATTCTATAATAGGGTTGAAACAAATCCATTCGATTTTGGAAACGTTTGTCGAAAACTATGGGCATTAATCGGTGGCAATTTCTTCCTATAGAAAGTGCGTCTCACATGTATCGCGCACCTTTGTTAATTATTTGAATTCTTTTTCAGGATTATTTCTTGATCGTGTAGTGAGTATTTATAACTACAATCAAGTTTTAATTAGAACCAACATGTAAATACATCGTTGATGTTCATTTTTTTTATGCTAACACGTTTTATTATAAACGAACCGAGGTTCGGGGAGGCTTATTCCCCTAAAGAGCCGGAGAAAACGAATGGGAGGGCCAAATCCCCTACAAGTCCATAGTACTACAAGTCCATAGTGTTCTGTTTTTTCCTATTCCTCGTACTGCGCTTGATCCGTTGCTTTTTTTTTTGGAAGAGTTGGTGTAAGTCTGAGGTCAAGAGGGTGGGACAGAAGGGGAGGGAGAAATGATGATTAGTTTTTTTTACGGGAGACAATGAATTCATCTTGAAATTCAGAAAAGGAATGAGAGTAGTTTGGAGAGTCCGGTTTAGAATAGAGCATAACTCAATAATCACTAAGTCGGGTTTAGGTGAACCTGGCTCCAAAGAGTCAGACACATTGCCTGGTCCCGCCTCAGGGAAAGTAGGGAGGGTAAGAATTTGGATCGAGGGAGGAACTAGGCCTAGTAAGGAGGGTTTGGGTGGAGCCTGACTAAGCGGGAGTGTCGATGCCACGGGTGTCGGGTCCGAGGCAAGGGCGGAGGGGATGGGTGGGCTAGCGGGAGAAGGGGACAGAAGAGAAGAAGAAGAAGGAGTAGCAATAGGTGGAGATGGATCAATGTGGGGGTTTTTTTCCTTCGTTAATTTTGAGGGGATGGATAGTTGGATTTTTTATGTAACATGTTGGTTCATCATGTCCCACATGAGAGCAATATAAACAGTATTTTGGTAAGCGTTCGAACTCGACGGTGAGTTCGACGTGTTTGTTTTCGCAAGATATGACAACGCTAGCGGGATGGGGGATTGAAGATTGAGGGCTATGCATAAGCATGCATAGTGGAGAAGGGTTTTTTTTTTCAGTGTGGTATCATCAACTTTTAATAGGTGCCAAAGATGTTGGCGATAGTTCGAAAAACCATTAAATCAAAGCAATGAAGGGGAAGAGTTGGAGTTTTGATCCAAACCGGAACAATGGGTGGTTCTTTTTTGAAGCCGAAATCGACTGACCATTTGAAAATCCGCATTGGAAAATTTAGAATTGATATGTCACGTTTCAACCAAAGTTTGGTGGACGTGTTTGAGTCTTTGATTTTGATTAATACGTGATTGGCATAGAGAAAGAAAATTTTGCATCCGATAAAACCCAAAAGAACAAGGTCCGACCGGATAGCCTTGTTAGAGGGCTCGCCGAAGTTTTGCCAATGAGGGCGAATTTTAGGCCCTCCAAAATTTTTGAGACTTCCGGAAAGGAGAATAGAACCTCTGAAATGCTGCCGAAGAGAGAAATAGAGCCATAAGGGAAGAGCTCGGGTGGGTCGGTGTTTTGGGCAGTCGAGAGGAAAGATTTTGCCAGTTCGAGGCCGACAGATGAGGTCAGGCCATATTGAAAGGTTCGGACCAAGTTCGGGCCGGATTGAAATTGTCGGGCCAGCTGGGAGGACCAGGCAGAGATTGAACGTGGCTGATGAGTTAGGTTTGTGCCGGACTGGGATTTGGGTTTGGTTCGGGCTAGGCAGAGTGAGGTGGGCTTTAGATGGAAGGGGTGAAGTGTNNNNTTTTAGTACTTAATTAATTTAACTACAATCTCTGTGGAATACGACCTTGCTCGCCACTATCTATAGCTACGCCGTACACTTGCGGATAGCAAAAATAATTAGCGAACACTAACCGACCCAATAAGAGGAGCCCAAGGATTAGGCACATACGGGATTAAGGATAGCTGAGGATGTTGCGCCGCCACCTTCTGACTAGAGGTAGAGAAACCAGCGACGCTGACTGAAGAAAATTCAGCGACTTCCGGCGGGGTTGGTTCAGCATACGAGAGCGAACGGGGAGAACCGCCTGGGAATCACTTTTGTCGATTCGGTGAGTCTGGGACGATGTTAGGTGCAGAACCACTCGGACCGTCGGAAGTTTTGGTCGCCGATAGGAAGAGAGACTGCTATCCGGTGGAAATTTGTGCCGCCGGCAGGCTGAGGAGGTACTCCAGGTCGCCGGGAGGCCATTCCCGAATCATGTCTTGGGCTCAATCACTTGTTAGTTCTCTTTGGCATTTTGTCGAACAACTTTTGTGCATGAATAGAGTTCCAGGCCAACTTCAGTTTTAGTGCAAGCGCTGAGAGCAGCCCCAGGTTCCTCGTCGTGCAATTACTTCGATTCTTTTTTATTTTGTCACTTTAGCTCTTTATGGATTTTGCTCTTCTTTTGTCCAATTCAGCCTGTCCTGTTCTTCTGGTAAACGTTGACAAACTAAACCAATGTTTTAAAAACCGTACCGGTCGTCATACCGGTGTAGCGACCGGTATGCGGTATTACCGGTACGACCGGTATTACCGTCTATTTTACCGGTTTTAATAAATATTAAATTAATTTGTTATTATTATATAAATAATATACAAAACTAACTTTAATTAATATTAAAATAAATTAACATCTAATAACAATATAAACCTATTAAAGTTAAGTGTAGAAATTTCAATTTATATAAATAAAATAATAAGAATCTATTAAAAATATTTTTTTTTTAAAAAAAATGGCATAAACTGGTATTTTGACCGGTATTTTCGTCGGTATTTGTCGGTAAAACCGGTATTTTCCGGTACGAAACCGGTATTTTGGCCAAAACGGTATTTTGAGTGTAAATGTACTGGTCGGACCACCGGTATCCCGTATTACCGGTAATACCGGCCGGTACGAACCGGTATTTAAAACATGGAACTAAACTTGGGAAACTATTTTATCAATCATACAAAACAAAAAAAAAA